AACCGAAATAGACAGCACACTGTTTATGGCAGATCACCATGTGTCACACCCCACTGTGACACATGGTGGTGGCAGCCCCATGCTGTGGGGATGTTTTTTTTAAGCAGAAACAGTAAAACTGAGATTTTGAAAGGGAAAAAATGAGATATTTACAGAGGAGTATTTATTTGTAAATAAATCCACCCAGGATGTTTGGTCCTAACCTTTCAGTCCTGTTCATGTTGTTAGATCAGCCCAAGGTTAAGTACAGTGGAGAATCTGCATAAAAACGTGAATATTTTGACTGACATTAACTTTTATTTCAGAGAAAAATAAGCAATGATCTCAGCTTTTCAATCTTAGAAGTGATCTTAAGAACAAATATGACCCCTCTCAGATTTGCATAAGTAAAAAATCAGCAGTGATATACTGTATTTCTCATTCATTGTGCCCTACTTTGATGATTAAAGCCAAATAAAGTCCTCTATGGTCATTAAAGGACAACATGTGAATAAATGGTTTTCACCATATTGGAACTGGAATTCATTTTAGACTGATGTTCAGAAAGTAGCTTTGACCTTGCCACACTTGCAGCGGGTGGAAAATTATACAAAAATAAAAATTATATTAGAAAGAGGTTATCAGAATAAAGATTTGTTCACAAGATGGAAAATTTAATTTGCTGTACTAAAAACAATACATACAATGAATAATATGTCTTAAGGGATAACTTAAAGGCCTCCTATGTATGAATATTTTTATTTCAATCCAGTAAATTCCCACTTTGCTTGCATTTCTAATTCTGAGGAAAGGCCTCAATCCGTTCTCCTACAAAGAACACAAAGTTCTTCTTAAAACAACAAAAAATAAAACATTTGTTAAACCAATACTAAACTTTAGATTGAAATATCAGTCCTTTTGAAAACAGTAAATGAATATAGGCTACCACAACCTCCATTAGGTAGAGCATCTGACACAAACCTCGCCATTTGCCCTTTATGCCACCTCCTTCCTCTACACCTGCCCAACCCGCACCTCCTCCGCTCCAAGTATCCCTCCACCCCGCCGGGCCATCCAACACCTTCTCCATTCCTAAGGAATGCTCCACCGTTTCACCTTCACCAGAGCGCATCAATAACATGGCCACGGCGCAGCGCGGCGCGCAGTGGCTTATGCCAGCCATTTCTGCCTCAGCACCAGCATCCGTCATTATAGCAGCACCGGCAGAGGGAAATAGAGCTAGAACTTGGGATGATGGATGTGAAGGGCACAGAGATGCACCGTCAGTTGGCTCTGTGTGGTGGAGGGAATCTGATCGTGGACATAAAGTCCTCTAGATGTCGACGTCCCTCTTGACGCGCTCTCCTAATTCCTCTCCCGGGCTGTTGGACACAATGTCAGCTCTGCGAAACCGCATCAGCGCTCAGTCACGCAAAAAAAAAAAAAAAAAGAAAGAAAGAAAAAAAGACAAGCACGCAAGCACTCATCATCTGTTACTTACTATTCTTTTATGAGCATTTTCCCCCCTGTTATTTCACAGCTCCAGTGGACCTTTATCCCAGACAGGCGCCGCTCCCAGGGTTGGATTCCTCCCTCCGCGTTTAAAGTCGCCCTTATTTCTGCTCGATTCTCTCCCCCCCTCTCTCTATGTCATTCTACCTCCACAGTCGCTTTTCGCTTTAGATTCACTTCCTGATCGGAGCCGCGGCGTTGCTGCTGCTGCTGCTGCTGCGCTCAGAGCACTGAAAAAAAGAAAAACGTGCCTGCGTAAAAAAGGAGCGCACACTGAAAAAAATGGATCAGCAGGAGATTGGTCTGTGGTGCACGCACTTAATTAAGTGATAAACATTTGAAAATTTTTTTTGCCCCTTTAAATACAATTAAATGAATTAGTGAACAAATAAATACAAAGTATGCATTAAAAAATAAAAGGAAAAAGGGATAATATTAGATAAGAAAAAGACTAAACTATTTTAAACACATCATTTGGGCTTGTTAACGTTTGGAATCCATGTCGTGATAAAATCCATTTATTCTAAACGCGATGCAAAATAACAGCACAGCAAAGCTGTGACACGAACGGTTCTTTCACCATTTTTCATTAGAGTGTGCAGCCCACTGCGTCATAGTGACAGCGGTGACGTAGAGGCGTGATTCAGCGTCAGAGGATGAGACGGGGATCACCGCTGGCAGAGACTAGACTTCTCTTCCCAATCCTCACTAGTGTCATTATTGCTTTGCAGCCTCCTGTTCTCCTCATTATATCGTATAAATCTTGTCATTAAGGTAAAGCTGAAAATGTTAAGGTATGTTATGTAAAGTATTCTTTTGTATTTGTTTCCTAAAATTGGCTGGATTATAGTAACTCCAGGTTTATTCCAGCCCTCTAATCCCGCCCAACTTCCTGAAAATCACGGGATTTAAATGCTTTGAGTTTGAAATTATGTAAGAGCGAACTGCGGCTGTATTTATAGCCCATCTATATCCATTTGACAACATAACTGCTAACGTCTCTGTGGTTTATTTTAAAGATACATCCCTCAGTTTATTCATTGTCGACATGACCTCTTGTTTTGCTCTATATGAATATGATTGATGGGATTATTCTACATGCACAGATATTGCTCTTGAATTGTCTTGCATAAGCATTAATACCACTTTCCATATTTTGTCATGTTACAACCTCAAACCAGTTTATGTTAGGTGATTTTTATTTTATTGGGATTTATAAGTGACTGACAAACACAAAATTGCACATAACTGTGAAGTACTATTAACATTATTTTATTACCTTTTGCAAAATTATAACTGGTTTCAATTTTGAACATTGGCGGCCTAGTGGTTAGGGCATTGGAATCTAGAGGTTCTGAGTTCAAGCCCCACTCCCACAGGCTGCCACTCTGGGTCCCTGAGCAGACGCTTAACCCCACACTGCTCCCCGGGCGCCATGGCATCCCACTCAAGGGGATGGGTTAAATGTAGAGAGTTCCTTTCGTTTGACAGTGTAATGACAATACAAAGCTGAATAACAAAAAAAAAAAACAATATTTTGATCTATTACTAACAGGGGCGAATCTAAAGGGGGTCCCAAGGGGGCATGATCAATGATTGGCCACCCCTGTGCACGAGGTGATTTAATAATAATAATAATAAATTTTATTTAAAAAGGCGCACAAAAGCATAAAAAGTGTCAGAAAAAATAAAAATGTGTTGTTCTCAACAAGATTTATTTCTTCCCCTCAGGAACAAGCAGTTATCCTCTAAACCAGATAATGGCAGCAGTCGGATATCCTACTTTGACATTTTTTAAAGCTAGTATGTTAACCAATAACTGACAAGAAAGACAGCAATTAACTCTTCACAACAATATACTATAATTAAAGAGGACATAATTCATGTTTTTTTATGAATTAGTTTTTATATTTTATGGGGCAATTTGTGTCTGCAGTCATTTTTGGAGTCTTCGATTTAATTTAAGGTAAAGTTCAACTGGTCCATCCATCCATCCGTCCGTCCGTCCATCCATCCATCCATCTGTCCATCCATCAATCAATCCATCCATCCGTCCGTGTGTCCTTCCGTCTGTACGTCCATCCATCCATCCATCCATCCATCCATCCATCCATCCATCCATCCATCCATCCATCCATCCATCCATCCATCAGGAAGCGGGGTACACATTGTACATGGTTGCCAGTCTGTCACAGCACTCAACCAATTCAATTTAATTTATATGTTATGTAGAAGCATACATTTATTTAAAGAGCACCAATGTATATGTTCTTAGATTTATTAGCAAAGGCTTCCGTTCATGCAGTTTTCTCATGAATGAATTATTTAGGCAAACAGTCACTGAGTCACTGTGTAAAGCAATGCATGGAAAATGCTTTACATGATTTGTATTCTGACGGATGCAAAATTGTCTATTCAAGTCCATCATTTTAACCTGTTTATGTCAGACTCTCTTGAAGGCCTTTTTTCCTCTTTCAGGATTCTTTTCAATAAGACTTGTAGATAGTGTTTAATGGTTGTTATTAGAACTGGGTAACCCCCCTAAAATATGATCAGTTCAGTAACAAAGCTAGTTTAAAAGACATTAGAAAAACATGTTGCATTAATGCAAAACAAAAACCAAAAAAACCTTAAATATCTGTAATTAGTTTGTTGAAAAATACATATTCAGAGATTAGATTTTGACAAAGTTAAGATAAGGTTAAATTTTAATTACACACTGAATCAAAGATCACGTGTTTTCAGTTGTTTCATCAGCCCTCTACCGCTGATGCGAGTGAAGATTTAACACATCTCGTCTCCAGTGGTGAGAGGTGTAGGCTTCAAGTGATAAAAATTTGTGAAAATGTGATTTCAGGTGGCAGAGCAGAGACGAGACTTGCAAAGACCAGCCACCTAGATGTGAGAAAATAGTCTATTCTGATCACACCTGAGCATGTGTTAGGTTTTTCATTAGATAGCTGGAGTTTCAAACATTTTTAATGATTTATTTTTCTGCACAATCAAATCACAATTTCTATTTATTTCCTCTTTTTTAAGTATACTTAAACCCTTTCAATCTTAATTTTCAAGTCTGAATGGATTTATAGCTGTAAAGAAGGGTCATCTTCGAGCTTATCTTCCCCTACTGTGGAGAAGCTCTCCTAAACTATAATGCTGCTGCCACATGGTAGTGGTTATGGCATCATAAGTCTCAAACATTGCTTACAGGTAAAGATGTTGATTTTTTTATCTTAATGTGAGATAACGTGAATTATTTAGGCTTTCCTTTAACAATGCTTTCCTTCATAGAAATGCACATAGTTTCCACATGTGCGGTATTTATAGATTACATCTCATTCCCTTTGTGCACTTGAACATTAGCAACATTTGCATGGGGCTTCCTTTTTATATTCTGGGTATAAATATTTTTTTCTGTAGAAAAGTTGTTTACCTTGCTAAGACCAAAGATACTTGGACTGCTGCCATCTCCTGGTTGGTTTCAGAATAACATAAAAACAATATATATATAATTTGAGTTTTCAGTGAAAAAAAAAGAAAAATCTTTATTGACTTCCACAGATTCTTTCATATCAAACAAAGACACCTGTGTAGCAAAATATCTCTACTTTATCTTCGTACAGAGTAGTAGGAGCTCCAGGCAAACAAAACAGCACAGAAACACATAGCTGCAGCACTGCACTCTTACAGTACACCAAAATAAATACACATATAGCAAAGGGATGGGTGGGAGGTGGGGGGTATCTGAAGCCAATCATCCAGAGAAAGTGCCACCATGAGCTGGGTTTGTGTGGAAGTTGGATAAAAGTGCTGAATCTCTCTAGAAGGAGACAGACCGGAGGGAAAGCTGACTCAAGCTAAGACATCTGAATAACAGCAGCGTTTTAGGAAATGCTGTTAATCACTGTTGCCATGTCAATCAAACTGTAGAATGTGTGTGCAAATGCAATCAGTTAATTCTCACTTTTTTTATTAAAAGTATATTTTAAAGGTGTTTTTGTGAAATTAAAAAAATCTATAGCTAAAAAAAACGATAAAATAAATACTCTAAGCATACATTGACTATTTAAAAGGAGTAATCTATCTGATTTCCTCTGAATGGAATTGCACAGCACTGCAGTAGCCTCTAATCCGCTGGAATATTGTCATCAAATGTTAGCCTTACAAAAAGATATGACTGTCTCTTCTGTTTGTCCTTGAAACATCAGCAACATGTCTCGACTCTTACTCATCCTACTTACTCCAGATTTCCTTTACACAATCTCTCGGGGAGAAAATCCAGCAGATGTACTGTTAAATAGCAGCTATCTATCTGATCTGGGTGATTTGCAGTTAACATCTAATACATTGGAGAAAACACAGAACAATAGGATCACCCTCTGACTTTTAGAAGTTGGGAAGGTGACCTTGTTGCTGCCTCAGGTGGCCATGTATCCCTTTATTGCTCAAGTGGGGCAAGTTAAAGCAGAATAACTGCTGGAAAACAATCTGCAGGTCAGTCAGGGAGATACAGATGACCGAGGCCTCTTTCCTTTCTCTGTTTCTCCTTCTATTTGCTCTTCATTTCCAGAGGGTTTTTCACTTTTTTTCTCATCATTTGTCTGTTGGAGGCATTCCTGCAGCAACAATCCCAGCATTTTTTCTTTTTTGGGAATAAAAAAATGGATCTTGTCTCCCTTATGGAGATGTTTATGTGTTCAACATTTTAAGACGTCTGTTCTTCACAATGTTTCTATATCTATCTCCCTTTAAACAAATGCCTCTGGGATCTCTGAGCCGTTGATTTTGATGTATATCTTGGCATCGTCAGCTTTCTGTTTTAGTTCTTGATGGAGCGTCCGCCTGTACCAGATCAGATAGAGAGGCAGCAAGAAGCCAAACAAACTGAGCACAAGGAGTCCAATGTTAACCTGGAGGACAAAAGCAGAGATAGCAAATTTTAAGGTTTGCATATGTTTTTGCAGTGATTTTGTAAAATTGTTGAACTATTCCACATGTCGTTTTTTTCCACTCTAGAAACATGTTTTACAAAGGAGTTAATATGGTTTGTTTCTACTTCTAGCTTAATTAAGTATCCACTAGCTTTGCATATTTTGCACTCAGGACATCTTCCCTTTCCCGATAAATAAGAGAATCAAGAAGCACTGTAAATATTAGTTACCTTATATACACAAGCTCTCAAACACAGGGGATGGATTCAGGTGTTTGTACACATTAAAATTGATACAGATATACTCTATTTTACTCTATTTTTCTATATTTCTATATTAGGTTTATTTTTCTTTGCCACTAAATATATCTTGTAATGGTACAGTGTACTTTTTAGTGACTTTTTCACTTTCTGCAGCTGTAGAAATGAACTTTTAGAAAGTAATCTTCTATTTTCCTCATTCTTCCATCTCTCCTTTATTAATTTAGCCCTTTTAATTTTTTTCCAAAAATGTCTCCCTTTTTTCCTCTGTCTTTTAATCCAATCTATTTATCCATTGGGTTTGAAATAACCCAAAGAATTTTCTAATAAAGCTTTTTTTTTATATATAAAACAAGTGGGGTACTTTAGTGGATGCCGTAATGCTCCACTCATGAAAGTAAATTTGTTGGTTGTCTTCTTGGTTCTTAGGCAGCAAAAAAACATGTAAGGGAGTGGTGCGTAGGAATTAGAGTAAAGTGATAACTATTAGAAGAAATCTGCAGGTACCCCGTTAAAAACCCGACAGACCGCCACTCTGGGTCCCATCTGCTGCAAGCTGCCTATTGTTCAATAAGGGATGGGTTAAATGCAGGAGGAAATTTTGTTTTAATGCACACTTGCAATCACCTCAAAGTTGACTATTATTGTTAGTGCTGCACTTTGCAAAATTTACGTGCAATGCAACTTCTAAGTTCGATTTTTGGTTCCATCTGACCAGCCTCTTCATGTTGTACTTCTAAGAAAATTAATTAAAAATCCAAATGAATGGCCTAAATCTTTTTTTTTTTTTAAAGTCACTAGTCACAAATCCTTTTGAAAGACCATTCGTGTGTTTTGAAGCTGACTGTGTTTGAGTGGGTGAGTATTCCTACCCAGAATGGGTCTCCTCCAAGTGGTCCCATCATGCCCAAAAACAGGGGCTGCTGCAGCAAAGCAAACACAGCACTGGCTAGAGACTGCATCCCTGTTAAACTGCCAAACTGAGATGAGGGATACCTGAAAAGGCAAAGAGTATCACTTTAGTTTCTCCCTTTGAAGCACCCTCCACATGGGGGCAGCTAACATCATAACAGTCCATATGCACTGAAAGTTGATCCAAAATTAGTTTGCATATTTCTCTTGCATCAAAATGTAGCTTTGCATAAGAAGTTAAAATACTCACACGGCAGCATAAAGGCCCCCGACAGCAGAGTGAATGAATCCCCTCACTACAGTATGTAAGATGAAAGAGACGATCTGAGGAGAGCAGAACAAATGATTGTTTATAATAATGGTTTTACATCCAAAAGCTCTTCAATTAAAATCAGACTTAAAACATCTGAAAACAACATGGCGACATCTATTTTTAGCTTGGTACAGTAAAGTCAGCTTTGCATATGGACATATGAAGAAAACAAACATCCAACATGGTTAACATCTGATTAGCTACTCACCTGTATTTGGAGGTTCGGTATCAAACAGGTGATACCAAATCCTACCAAAAGCATGTTTGTGAGGACGAATGCTCTCAGAGCGTTGGTCACTTTCTGGGTCTTTTTGTCTCTGCGCTTTGTTTTGCTTTCCCCTCTAGAGTTTAAGAGAAAATATGTTGCATTAATGGGCAGTAATCTCATGTTTACATTTTACATATCAATAAAAATGATCAATAACTGAAATAAGGCTGTCTTATTAACTATAAGATATGCAGTTAAAACCAGAAATGTCCATATGCCATATAAATGGATCCTATTACCAGACTCCCCACTAGAGCTTTCCCTTAGCAAATAGTAGTATACTTGAAGTAAATTCTATTAAGAATACTTAAGTATAAGTATGAGTTTAGAAAGTATACCTGAACAATGAACTTTAGTGTAATTGAAGTATTACTAAAGTAATAGTTCTTCAAACTAAATTGGGACATTTTTAAGTTTACTAAAGTATACTTAAAGTATACTTTAGTAAACAATAAAGTAAACAATAGTATAGTCAACTACACTTGACTATACTATTGTAAAGTATATGAAATATAGTTTAGAATAAGCAAACTCTAAGTGTACTGCCTGATTTTAAGTATGAAGTTAGTGCACTTTTAGTATCCTTGAATAAACTACTTTTTGCTAAGGGTTGACAGAACTAATATAACAGAGTCAGGTTGATAGTGTGCATTGCTTTCACACATGCTTTCAGCTCAGGCGTTAGCTTTTCTCCGGAACTGAATTTCAGCTTCATCTTGGCTACTTTAAAACAACAACCCTCATCCTTAAACCAACATGTAGGGGATTTGCTTGTTTGCTGATGATATTGTCCATTCTGAAATACCAACTGTACCCTCATTTTAACTTATCCTCCATTGTCTTTAAATGTTTTCTTGATATTTACAACATTTTCTTGCAGCTATTTTGTGAAATGAAGAAAACTTCTTTGCTCTAAGACTACCAACCAGCAGAGTACTTCCATTAAACAAATCAAGTTCTCTTAATCTATGTACATTTGCAAATTGTAAGAGTTGTTTTAAGTTTCATTTAGGACAATGCCTTCTTTCTTTCTCGTTACAAGACTGTGGATATTAAACACCTTCATAATTTTTTTCAGTTTTTTTTTTTGCCTAAAAGCAAGGAAAACAAAGCACATATTCTGAAACATAGAACATTTCTCTACCTGAAGTAAATTACAATAAAATTTATACTTTGTTTATACTTTGCCTGTAAAATCTGAAATGCAAACAAAATGCATAATTTTAGCAATCAAACAGACCATAAAACTGAAAAGGTTGAGTCTTAATCGTCAAACCATGACTGAAAAAATCTGTTTACATGGCATATAAATATCTGGTTTAAACTATAATTTTATCTTAAAAATAAATTAATTTACTTCATACAAAATAACATTTTCATTTTTTCCACAGCTACTCTGTGAATGTGTCTGTTTTATGATGTGGCGACTGAAAGCTGAACACTTAGTATCAACCCACTGGCTTAAAGGTTTCTTGTCCTCTTCTCCGTCATCACAGTCCTTTAGTTTCCAGTCCATAATCTGACCAATCACTGGGGTAGTCATCAGACAAAGCAGCTGCAGCACACCAAAGATGGAGGAGTACAGACTCACTGAAGATCAAACAAAAATAAAACTATTATGGGTTGTTTATGGGAATACCAAAAGACATTTCTGAGACAATGTAAAAAAGAAAAAGAAAAAAGTTAGTTAAAGCAAAATGATGGGAGAAGAGAGAGTGATGTCACTACCTGGCTTAATGGTTAGTCAATATGGTTACGAAGCTGTGTGAGATATTAGAGGGCAACAAGGTTGTTCAAAAGTCAACATGTTGCCATTAAAGGGGCTATTTGTAACTCCAGGAGCAGTGAGACATGAAAAGAGTCATGTGAAAATGTTTGTTCTGCTTATTCTTCTGGTGAAGTTGTTAATGAATAAACCAATGGTTCCTTCAGCTTAAAGCTGCGTCATTACTCTGCTAATAACAAGGACGATGTCTAAGTCATCTGAGAAAACAACAAAAGTTAGACTCTATGTGTTATTAGCTGCATATCTAACAACCTAATACTAAGGGAAACTACTAATAAAGCCATATGTTTTTTTTGTCTTACCAACTTCCATTCTTTCCACTGAAATTTAAAAAGTTGCATTCAGTTGCTTTTAGATTATGATATAAGCTGTTTTATGAGTTTTTTTTTTAATTGAATGAAGACAGACGTGTCAGAAGGAGATGCAAGCAGACCTGTGTTGAGGTCTCCACCACATAGCACCTCCAGGACGCTGTTCATGGCCCCCATGTAGAACAAGAGACGGAGCTGAGTGATGCACATGGTCAGCGCGCTGAGCAAGAAAATAGGGCTCATGATGCTCTTCAGAAAAGATTCGGCTGCAGACAAGAAACACAAGGGATTGAGAGACAAGACAAACAAACTAAATAACTTTTTTTTAAACTTGATCCTTTAAAGATTTGTATTCACACTGTACTCTTACATTCTTCCTCAGGCTTGCAGTCCATTTCCAGGTCCATGGTGGAAAGGCAGAGAGTGCGTCCATCTTTAGCGACCACCTCCTTCTGTTTCACATTGTTGCTGACGCTCAGACGGCGGCCTACTGTGGTTACTTGGCGGTAGAACTGCTTCCCTGTGATCTTATGGTCAAAACCCAGCCAGCTGAACTTGATCTTTACACTGAGAAAGCAGAGGGGAGAATAAAAATACATAATCTTTCTTTGATTAAACTCAGTGGGAGTAGGATTAATGTATGAGGTGTATTTTTGATTGTAAATATGCAACTGTGTGCAATCGGTCTACTAACGTGTAGTCCATATCTTCAGGTCCAGGGAAGGGCTCCAGCGGCCAGTTAAAGAAGCAGTTCAGGAAGACAAGACCAGCACAACAAGCCCACACCACAAGAATGGTAATGAACGTTGCACCAAAATCATACAGGACCTGTTCACAATAAAGGACAAACCCTGAAACTTTTTGAAACCACTTATGACCCTAAAGAGTCATAGAATAGTCTCTTCAAATAACAGTATTTTGTATAACTTGATCATCTCTGAGGTGATAAGTTAAAATATTAAACATATCACCTAATATATATTTCTCATCTGTTAACTAACTTATTTTGGTGTTTATATTGAAATAACAACCAAACAACAACAATAAAGATAACCCCATCCAGTCGTTAATTGGTGGAATAAAACTGTTTGTAGTGGCTCTGGTAAGACTTTTTCACAATTATTTAGTTCCTTTAAGAGACTATTTATTTTTAAGGCTGTCATGATTGTATAAATAAAATTTATTTGGGATTTTCTCTCAGCCCCATATGGTCAAAATTACAAATATAAGCTTAGATTTGTATATATTTTCTTCCTCTGTGAACCTTTTCAAGTTATCAATAAATAATGTCATGATTTTTTCGTTGGATGTTTGTGCTGTTTCCTTTAAAAAATGCCAGCATTATTAAAAAGTAATTGGTTTCACAAGACTGGAGGTAAGCAGCAGCTCCCCTGCAAACTCTGCACAAATAGGCAGGCATAAACAATGGATGGATGGATAGTTGATTCCCTGCCAAGGACAGTCTCAGTTCGGGACTGAGATGAGGTTTTTGGAACATCCATTGGAACCACAGTGTCATTTATTTCAGATGGTTCAGTACAGGCTTCGATGTTAAAAAATAAAATAAAATAAAAAATAATAATTTACCTATCTAGACTCTTTCCTGTCAATGCTTGAAAAATAAAAAAAATAAACTTTGACCTTGTTAGAATTTTGTCTTTACCAGATATCAAACATAATAAAGGGACTGCACAAATTCTCCCAAACATAGTGCTTTAATATTGGTACAGAATGAGGCAAGAAATCTGTTGATAGCTTAAAAACATGTTAACATGTAGCTAATTATTATTTAGATAGTAGTAGGGCAAAAAAAGTCTTGAATTAAAAAAAGGCAACCTCTTAATTATTAAATTGTCTTGCTTTGATTTATTTTAATTGGGCAAACAAAGAATGAAGATATACATTAACATATAAAATTAAAACCCCATAATTGATATGACTCTAATACTTATGATTAATATATGTAAAACTCTCACCAGAGTGGTGTTTCTAGTAGGCTAGTATACTTCAATAAGCATTTTTTTAAGACAACAGCAGGTTAACTCAATTTGCATTCATCCATTCTCTAATTTCGCTATCAATTTGGTTGTAATTCATATGAGTTAATATATAAGAATAAATGCTTTCTCCTACCTTGACACCAGGGAAAGTGACAGCAGATGAAGCATATGAGCCGATCATGAGAGCAATGAAGGTAGAACGAAGGTTTCCAAACATGTTAGGGAGCTAAAAAAAAGAAAAGGGAAATCACAGGGTATCAACATATGCTTCAATACTATACGATTGAAATTGGCTGCTACTCAATGATATATGTTAAATGAAGTCTATTCCACTGTAAATGTAAGCACAAAGGTTAAACAAACTACTGCTAGTATCATAGTTATGTCAGCTGTGGTTATTTGGAAACAGGGAATAGTATGGGGGCACCATAACACTGATGCCCAATGAGGCGCGGGTCAAAGGGCACAGTTGGGACCTATCAGCAATAATATATGGTTCAAAATCAGAGGAGATAAAAGCACAACAAACCAACATGAAACAAGTTAGAGCAAAACACACAGCTGTCCAATACAGCACTGATGGGGTCTACACAGCTGAAACAGTCAGGGGGGATGAATGAGGTGAGGAGATACTTCGAACTGGTCCTGATACCAGGAACTGTGCACACAAGAAGGAGCGGGTAGTGAGTTCATTTTTCATTTTGTTTTGTTTACACCCACAGCTCCAATGGGAAGACTAGAGTAACAGAGTTGGAGGACAAATCGGGCGACACAACCAACAAAAAGGCATTCACAAACCGTCCTGCTTTCAAGTGGCTGAACAACAACAAGCACATTCAATTACATAAGACTGGGGATTGGGGGTTGCTATGGTAGGAAACCAGTTTACTGTATTTACCAACACTAAGCTCATTCAAAAGTGCTGGTTAAACTCAATCAACAGAGATATATCAATTGTTGCATAAGTGACCCAACATGTTGTATCATACAGTCTATAAATCACTGCTAAATGGTAAATCTGGCCCTGCTGAGTGTGTCTGAATGGTCATTAGCTGGGTTTGCTCTCTGCAGAGAAGCTATATTCAGAAAGCTAATGATCAAGCTTGTGTTTAATTATTAACCAAATGCTAACGCTTGTTTATACCATATGAGAGTTGTTAGGGAGACAAGGTGAAGCAGCGTCCAAGGGTAAAGAGATGGTTTCATGATTAGGGTGGAAACTCAGGCTTCAGCTAATGGGACATTTAAATGGTTCTAACAGACTGAGCAGTAGAGATGAATGATTTAGCCTGAGAGGAATGACGCTTTATAGGGATTTACTGGGGCAGAGCCCCTCTCCAGTGAAGAGCATTGCCATGGTAGTTTCACAAATTCCTGAGTTATCAGAGGCTAGAAGTGATGGTGAGAGAAGGCAACAGGGGGAGAAACACAGTAGGAAAAGAATGCCAATGAATAGAGCCATCCAGCCAGTGATTCCTTGAATTAATTAAGGGCATGAGTTGTTTTTCTGTTCTTTTGTATTTATGGCTGAACTCAGATTTTAGTGAAAAACATCCAGGATATGTAGCACTTGTTTTGGTCCTGGTGTGCCTGCTGTATAATGAGATGTTTTGTGCAGTAGCTATTCTTGAGTACAGAGACAGTCATGAAAACAAGACTTCGGCATTACACTCTTGCTATCACAAACAGTAATGTATTTCATTTGAAAGGTATTTGATGGATCAACAAAAAATGGTGGATAATTTTGAAGAAGTATGAAAATGATAAGTGGCCAAAAACCTGCGGTTTCCCTTCAGAACGCCTGAGAGAAATTAAACTATTTTTATTGGAACTTTCTTTGAAAATAAACTAAACACCAGTTAAACTATAATTAGGTAAATTCATGAGCGATTGGTTGTTCAGGAGTGTAGCTGAATATCACACTTACCAAATGTTTTTGAAATTGTTATTTCTTGGATAACATAGTTTTCGCTTTCCTGCTACAATTAGCATGAAATTGTACATTTTGTTTACGTTGTCAAATCACATCTAATCCCGAAATGTAAAACCTTTGATGCAACTGTATTCTCATGTCATACTAATCAATGGCCCTTCCTCATACCTAAAGCATAGATGCAAGTCTAATTTCAGTGTTTTAAATTATGTAAGGGAAGAGTAGGACAAAGGGTGGAATGCAAACAGGATATGGATTGTGAGCCAACAGGGAGCCGGAGATGGGGATAATTTTCAGACACATGGGGTATTTAGTACACATCTGGTCAAACAAAAGGCAGCAAGTGCATTGGTTTTGCAGCAAGAAGACTATAAAGCAGATGAAGGTGGCTTGCCAACTTACTGTAAGGGAGGTGAAAGTCATGCACATGCCTCCGAAGCCGTTGAAAGTGAGTGCAATGAAGATAAGAACGGAGAGATCTGAAAAGGAAATGCTGTTAGATTGCCAACAATCCGACATCACATGTAGATATGGAAAATGGACCGGATGGATCACATGGACTCACCATTTGGTTTGTAGGCCCCATAAGCCATGAGTAGACAGGAAAAGCCAAAGCAAGTGCTGAAAATAGAAGTTTGTTTAAGCCTTTCAAACAACAAACACAAAAGAAGCTAAATAGTTTTGTTCTTTTGTTCTTTGAGAACAACACAGGACAACGTTCTTTAATATGAAATATGAACTAATGTTTCTTTTGTTCACCTGCCCAGCAGTCGAAGTTTCCGAGGCCCATATTTATCCATGACAATCCCCAGTGGCAGCGTAATGGCTGAGAGCAGGAAAGAGCCAATGGTGAAAGCCAGATTCAGCATCTCGTCTTGTTCTTTGCAGATCAGCCAGCCGTTCATCCTCAGGGGTCCCTCAGGTACCAGGTGCTTAATCTCCACCCCATCTCCCACACCCACTACAGAATCATCCCCTTTGAACTCATCTGAAAAGTCATCGGATGCTGGCGTCGCCGCAGGTTGAGACAGATTATAGCTGGAGCTGTTACCTGTGGAACATAACCAAGTTATTAAATCATTTAAATGTCATTAAAATATCATTTGAACATAATTTTAAGGGAGTATGGAAAAAAGAAGGAGAACTCATGACTTCTAAATTTGATGAAATGTAACATTTGCACTTCTGTTTATTCAAAGGATCCTGATTTGTCAACACATAGTCATCACATGTGGAATGAGCTCATCTCGGGTTATCTGTGTGGTAAACCTCAGACTAGAAAATACAAAATGTCAGCAAAAAATCTGCAGTGAAAGAAGAAAAATAAACAGGAACTCATAGATAACTTTTGACTTGAATCTTTTCAGGCAGAAAGGTTGTCTGGGTTTTATTCAGACTTTAGAATATATGTGTGGGATGCAAACATGATTAACTGGCTGAGGCAATAAACTGAAGCGTGTTATCAGAACCAGCAAGCTGTAATGTGAAAAAGGAACAAAAGTCCAAGAAGACATTAACTGGTAGAGCAGCCTGGGGCACTGCCTTTCCTGTAACAACCAGCCTGCATGAAACCATGACAGTTTTTTCTGCAGGAGCTCATATTATAGAACTTCTCTACATCCTGTAAATGTGAATGCTGTGTGTCTTTGTTGAATAGTACAAATCTGCAGTTGCAACATGAACTCATACTAAACCATATGTTTTTCTGCTGTTGCACAACTTACACTCACTCGAACCCCGTGTTTGCACAAAGAAAACCACTCCTGAACCACACTGCTATCTGTTAGATCTAGATTTTATAATCATCTCCCGCACAGGTCATCTAACTTCACCGCCTCATCACTTTTCTATCAGACTTTAAACCTTCCTTCGTCTTTATCGCCACTCTTTAAACTTCCATATAACTGGTAATAAAGGCCTGATGTGGAACTCTCTGTTCCTCGTTTATACATCACATGTCTAAAAAGAGCTGAGATGGATTTCTTTCTTTTCTTATGTCATCAGAGTGAGATAAAACTGATGTTGTAGATCTCAGTAGAAACAGCTATGAGATGCACAAGTGCTTGCAGGTCTTATTCTTCTTTATGGCATTAAACCACAAGCTTTAGTGTAACTTATTGGGATCCACTTAATTGTGAGGTGGTGTGAAATGATCTGTATCATTTCATTATTTATTTATTTTTTTATTTTTTTATAAAACTCAGTGGTAAATGGATTGGAATAGAACAATGAATAAAATTCCACCATATGTTGCAGTTAATTTTTCCTCTCCACTTCTGCTGCATGCATGCTCAGTTTAAGGAATTGCTGTGGAGTCAATTACGCAATAGAAGCAAATGTCTGCTAATCAAGGAAAAGCAAATCCTGCAAAGTCAAAGACTCAATGAAGTCAGCTGACTTCCTTAGATAGAAAACCTGGTCAAACTGTCTCTGTAAAGCCCCTTCAGATTGAATTGCCACTATATAAATAAACCTAATTGAATTGTTATCAAATTTTGAATTGCATAGAACAAGACGGACTACTACTGGTTGTGCATTTCAGGAAGAAATTTGTTGGCTAAAGAAAGCCATAAAGAGTTTGCATTTTTTTTTGCACTTGCCACATAAAAGGCATTGCAAACGTGAAGAGAGATGCTCTGATAAATTAGATCACAGTTGAGTTCTTTTTATAGAATATACGCAAAATACCATCCTAGACAACAGTTAAGGACTGCAGAGGCCTGTTAATTACCCATTTATTAAAGAAAGGTGTGTGGCTGCAGGGAAATACCTAAAACATGCAGATATGTTGTTCCTGACAAGAAAGTTTCCCATAACAGAATAAACAGCTTTTGATTTTCAGCAATCTATAAAAATCTATAATTATCCTTAAGCTCAGCCCCCAAATAGGAGAAAACAATTTCAGTTAACATCAACATACAGTTCAAAATATTCCCAAATAAAATGCAACCAAAGTTGATAGTAAATTTCTTTAAAACTAATTCTACGGCAAAATAAAATAGTTCTACCTCCACCCATTTTTGCTAAACCTCTTTTAAAATAACTGACTGGACCCATATGTGTTTTTTGCATTAATGCAATGTCAGTCCTTGGAAGCAAATAGCAAAACAGAGAATTCAATTTTAAAGAAGGTAAATTAATTAAGAAGGAAAAAAAACACTTCTCAGAAAAAAATACTGAAAGAGCTACAACTTTTTTCAGTGTTGCCTAAAAATGATCTTAAAAGTGCTACAAATTGAAAGTTGACAGGGTCCATTCTTAATGTATCTGTTGTCTCTAAGCTCTTGTCCTTCTCTTTTACTGTAACAGAGACTAAGCACAGCAAAATAAGATAACCCCTTTCAGTCAAGAGACTACATCTTTTGTTTCTTTCTATACTGCTTTCAACCACTTTGCCAACCTGCATCCTTCCTTACTCCAATTCACCTGATCTGGTTACAACCTCGGAGTCCCTAAAACAATATGGGACACCTGAATAGATAAACATTTTACTTACAAACAATGAGGGAGACATAAAAGCAGCTGTGTTGCCTGACATTTCCTGAAATAAAGTATTTTTCAATGGTATAATATCAATAAATATAATAAGCCCTATTACTTTTCTTTGAGGGAGTGTTTTGAGATCAAATTTACAACCTTAATGTCTACATGCTTACTCAAAGTTAAAAACAACTGTTGTCAGAAATAAAATATGTTGCAAAATAAAGCTGATAGTGGGAATGCAATCTGAGACTCACCTTCATCATTGCAAAGATAGGAGTAGAAGCCCTCTGACTTCAGCATGATGAGGAGTGATCCCCATCCCAGCAGCACAGCAGAGAAGAACAGGTTCTCAATAATGGCGGTCACTGCCATCCACCAGCGCCTGCTGAAGGCTGTGGCAAGGGTTGGAGCCATGGCAGCGGGGCAGAGGGGGAACTTAAGAAAGAAAAGGCAAAGAGAAGAAAGCTGGAAGAGTGCAGAGGGAGCCTCCCCGACTGACACTCAGGATGAGGAGGGACGGATTATTTATCTGTGAAAAGAGAAGTGCAGGAGGAAGGGTGGAGTTATAATGTCAGCTAATCACTGAAGTCAGTAAATCCCTGGAAGGGTTGGCTTTTATAAAATGACTAGACTAAGCTATTAACTTTGCACCATTTGGAGAAAACTGTGAAAGAGACAACAAGATAGAATTCTAAGTCAGGAGCTGCTTTGCATTCTTTTCTGGTTGTTTTCAAACTTAACGTTCCAAAAATGCTGTTTATCCTAATAGATTAGGGTCAATTATTAAAATTCTTGCTGCCACACAGCTGCTGGCCATTTACACACACTATTTCTTAAAAAAACTAAAAAAAACTAATAGCATCTCAGATTTTCTGCTGTAAGTAAACTGGTCCAGACTGGATTGAAGCTTGGACGGCAAATGACCCTCCCTCTATTTCAGATAAGCAGCCCACTTTCTAAATGTTCTCACATGTCCACCCAACCATAAAAAAATATTTTTTTTCTGCAACTGCTGTTCTGCATCACAATCTTCCTTGTTCATTCACTAACACTGAACACATACACCCTCAGAGGTGCTGTAGAAGTAGCAAAAATGAAGAAAGTGGCATCTATTTAGAATACTACTTGAATGATGAGTTTGCACAAAATAACTATTTAAAGGTCTGTATCTTTCAGTAATAAACAGAGGTAAACATGTTTAAACTTCGCTTTTCTTCAAATGTCGACAGATGAATATAAAAAATATCTCACCACTCCTGCAGGGAGAGCTACAAAGCATTCAGCTCTCTGATGTCTATCTTGGCTCCCAGTAACCAGGTATCTGCAAAAAGAAACATTTATATACTCAGGCATTCAGCAAAGGGCGCCCCCTATTGAATTTTGTCATCTGCCTTCAATTTCTGAGAAAGGCCTGTCTGAAAGGAAGTGCTGTGAAAACAAAAAACATTAATCTATTTAGCAGCTTAATGCTAGAAAAAAATGATCATGTCATTCATCTATGATGAAGGTCACGAGAATATTTTAAAGAAATCTTAATTTGATTTTATCATTGGTTGTGCAATGGGATGTTTGTGAGTGGATTAATCATGCCAGACATTCTCTGGGAAGCCAGTATATCTGCAGGTGTCAACAGGTCTGTGGATCATTAGTAACTATTGATTGATCAGGAGCGCAGAACAAAGCCTTGACGCAGATTCTGTGCTTATGTGAGCTTTTTTCAGATGTTTACTGGGCTTAGTTTATGAGCTACTGTCAGGTTTGGGCATTGCTGTTTTTAAAATGAGGAGTTTTGGCTCCCTGCCCAGGGAAGCATTATCATGGGGGCACAATTACAGCACCTTATTTGGCCCCACTTGTATGAGATAATATGGCTATAAAATATGGTTTGATTATGAGGCTAAAGTTTTTTTTTTTGTTTTTTTTTTTTTACAATTTAGAGCTTCTTATTTTGTGCCAAATAAAAAGGATATTTTATCCTTTCTAATGCTGTTTTAATTAGAACCACCTTGAAAAACAGACAACAATTAAAAACACAATAGACTTTCAATGGCTCTCACTCTAGCTGACTACATTATTTGACAGCCCGAGAAACAGGAAGGGAAAAAAATTATTGATCATCCTGAAAATAAATGTAAAATAAAATTTTCTCTTTTTTATTCAACTCATTTATTTATTGTCTGCCTGGAAATTTAAAACATTCTGTTTGAAAGTTGTTTTTCAGCTTGGATAGTGTCGGTCTTAGCTTGCAATGGACTCTGGATCTGATGTGATCAATATGCAAATCAATCACTGTGATAGCAACAGCAATCCCAGGGACATAAACACTGATATGCTAATTTGGTCTGGTACACAGGTCAAACTCTCAGATTAAAAGGTAAAAGAAACAGCCCTGTATAACAGCCTTGATTTGTGATTCAGGAAATGATGAGCAATCCCTTTGATCTGTAACTTTGGAAGTCTTAAAGGACTAAACGGTTGTTAACACACTCATTATCAACCCATACAAAAAATGGAGTTGATGAATGTTTCAATCAGCATGGTTTATCCATCCTGTTAGTATTCTGGTTTGTCATGGAGGATATATGTGGAGGAAGTACTGTCCTTTAGCAAAGCTATGTTACATTTTCAAGGCAGAAACTAGCTTCCACCAACTCTTAGTCTGTTTGAAATCTATGAGGCCATAAAGCTTTCCCATGGATATTATATATATTATGTATATATGGATATTATACTTGCACACAGATCTGCAGATTTGTATTGCCTTGCTTGTTATTTTTTTGTAAACCAGTTGGTGATTATTTATGTTGTTTATCTTATTTTTTTACAGGATCTGTTAGGTAAATTGTCAGTCAATTCAGCCTTACCCTTTTCAGTGAAAGTCTCAGTGATAGTATAGGGCCCCTCTACATGCTCCCCCTAACCCGGATCTTTATAAACAGCAACACAACTTACCATAACTATGCAGACAGTTGTACATTACAATGTTACCAGGTGACTACAGACCCATTCAAGCACTGGGTAAATGCATAGAAGAAATCAATGCATGGTGCCCAAATTTCCTTCAGCTGAATTAAACAAAACTAAATCGATAGTTTTTGGACCAAGGTAAGAGTGTTCAAAAAGTTAGCACACAGCTTCAGTCAATCCAGCTACAAACCACCAATAAGGCTTTAGGTGTAGTGATGGAGTCAGACCTGAACATTCAGATGCTCATAAACACAGTAACAAAGTTTACGTCCTGTCATCTATTGAACATCTCTAGGATTAAAGGACTAATGTTTTAGCCGAAGGTTGATAAACAAGTAAATCTTTAGTGGAATTTATTACTAAGATTTCTTCAGAGGTCTGCCTAAAATGCTCTCATTATTACCGGTGCCTTAACAAAGAAAGTGGGGCACACCAGTCGGCGCTAAAAACTTTACACTTGCTCCGTCTATCTCAGAGGATAGACCTTAAAATACTTCTATTAGTCTTATTCCAAAATACATTACAGGCATGTTGTCATTGTACCAGGCACCCAGACCACACAGGTCTATATGTTCAAATCTGTTCTGCACACCCAGAAACAGGACAAAACATTGGGAAAGCAAGGTTTTGTTTTTATAATCCACAAATCTGGAATAAACTCCCAGAAAACAGTAAAAGGTCTGGAATCCTTAGTTGCTTTAAATTTACATTAAAACTCATTTGTTTAGTGGCCGCTGAATGTGCTATCTAAACATTAATAGTTAATTTTCCATTCTTTCATTCCATTTTCTAAATAATTTGGTATTTTTTTAATGGAACATTTTTTTCCTTTCATATATTAATGTCTCTGTGTGCTATACAAATGAACTTGCCTTCTCTTACCTTATCTCTAGTATGTGGAAAACCCTCTGTACTCTTCTTATCAAAGGTGACACTAAGAACTAATAACTGGAGGCCTACTTAAAACATTATAAGTGATCTTTAGAAAACAACTTGTTGAAGAAAATGTTTTGTTTTCAAGCATTAGTTAAAAATTATGTTAGTTAAAAAATTATTACATCACACCAAATGACTGTGGGTGTTAAAATGGTAACTACCAGTTTTAATGACCATACATAAATATGTGTTTTGCTTTGGCTATACTTGCAATTGGTCTTTTGAGTACTAATATTTAAGCAATAATTAGGAATTTTGAAAACAATATCTGTAATATATTATTGTTAAACAACTGTACTGATGTAAATTAGTTAAATGTCAGAAAATCCATGCTGTTTTTAATCATTTAGAGCAATGTAATGGTACATCTTACTAATTTTAGATGAACTAAAGTACAACAACACATTTGAAAAGTGTATTTTTTTAACTTTTACATATTAAATTTTTTATTTATTTATTTAGTTTATTAAAAGTTAACTCGTGACAAAAAAAAAAACAGCATGACTAAAAATGCACTGCTTGTCTTAAGACCCTTGTATTCAAGTGTTTTCCAATTTAACAATAACATTCTCAACAGTTTCCATCATGTTTGTCTTCTTGGAAGGATCATAAATATGGGAACATGACTGAGTGGTGCTACAGACTTTGCTGACCGCTGCATTAAACAAGAAAAGGGTCAATGGCCTGCTCTTTTAAAGAACTTGTTTTTTGTTCCCACACTAAAAAGAAGGAATGCATGGGTGAATGATCACCACCTGTTGGTAGCAGGAGATGCTCACATGTGGAAGTAAACAGAACAGACAGAAGAGAAAACAGCTTAAAGAAGCAAATTTATTATTATCTTCAAAAATAACAACAAAGGAATATTTGGCTCAATAGCTATTTTAAAAAATATATGTATCTGAACAAAGTGCACAGTTTAAAAAAAAGGCCTTAAAATATTTCTATCAGATTTTGAGAGAGACATCTCCAGGATCCCCAAGGGATAAACACAACTTTACTTATGATTTAACAGAATTAAATAACATTCAGACATCAGAACAATGTGCTTCATGACAGACAGTATTCATGCCTAACACATACAGTACAATTATTTGACAGTCTCTCATCTATACATTTTTCTTGCTAGTAGACCGAATGCATTTGACAAAACCAGTGTTTTGAAAGAGCTTTGATGTCTCGATGCTGGAGCTGAAAAGAACACAAGAAGGATATTCATAAAACAGTTTTCAAGCTAATAACTAATGGTTTAAAATATCTACAAAAAATGTTTAACAAATATTCATTTAAAATGTATAAACATTAATTATTTTTGTCTTTATAGACACGGCTGTAAGCAGAACTACCACCAGTGTCACAACGATCCCTGACTCAGTGATAAAAGGTCCTTTTTGCTAACACTAACTAAAAAAAGCCAGATAACATTGTGAAAAACATTCCTACTGCTTCAAATAGCCACACTGAGACAGGAGGATGCCCCACCTGTTTCTCCCCTGGTGCTATGATTAAATGTACTACAGAGGCCCAGTTTTAATTACCTTAACTTACAGCGATTCAAAACCTGAATTAAATCACTACAAAAAAATCAAGTCCACTCAATTAAGTTAACTAAATTTTTCCTAAAATAAGTGTGTTTTGACCTTTATTTGAGCAAGTAAGTTTGCCAATTTGCCACTGCAATAAGATCATGTAAGTTTAAATGGGAGTGGCGGACTAGTTTGGGGGAGTGTCCGCCAAGTAGTTAGGGAAAAGAGCTTGGAATCCTGAAGTTTAATTATTATTATTTTTATTATTAAAAATAATAAGAAAATTAGTTCACTGCCTCATTTCAAGTGTCTAATGATCTTATTTGAAGGGCAGAGATACTCGTCACATTGGCAGATCATCTTATTTAGCTGCCCAAATTAAGGGCAAATAGATTTATTCTAGGACAGTTCTACTTATTTTAATATCTTTTTTTTGGAGTGAAAGAAAGAGAAATTAACAAAGAAAGCACAATGTCCTTTGCCTTCGATTTAAGTCTGGTTTGTGCTGGCCATGACCCAGATGACTCAGAATTCTCACAGGCAAACAAGGAAATAAATCAACATACATAAAAGTGAAACTTCCTCTATTGTTGTTTCAATTTCAAGACCTAAATCTTGTATAAAACTTGCTGGGTGAGAGCAGAGTGTATATAAGTGATCTGTGGACAATCTAGACGAAGGATCTGCAACCTGTAGCTCCATAGCCAAATATGGCTCTTTGGGTCTTCTATAATGGCTCTTAATTGTGGCTAAAAATGATAAAGAACCAAATAATGTTTTTGAATACAGTATAATAACACATTCCAGATTTAGAACCTTCTGCAGAGTTTTTTTTTTTTAAGAATAATTAGAGAACAGAATGACATTAGAAAGAAACAGTGATATAGTTTTAGATCTTTATATATACTTTTACTTTTACCATCATTGAAACTATTTGCTTTGCTTTACTTAATTTTACACAGATATCAATACCTTTA